AATGCGTTTATAAGCATTTGCGTTTGGAAACATTTTTTATCTCTTCCAGTTCCCGATGCTGTCCAGAGCCTTTTTTCATCATGAAAATTGCATGCAAAGCGTTTTCCCGGTACTCAAATGGACCTGGTACACCATACTTTGAGGTTTCGCATGAAAGAAAAAATGTTAGACACTGCTGCAATAATTTCTGCACAGAAATGAGCTGGAACACATCCAAACACCACAATGCAAACGCTCATAAATGCGGTATGCAAACGCGGCTACACAGACATTTTTTTAACCTGCGTTTTCCAGCAGTTTCCATTGTTTAGAAGTTCCCCGTGTACATGGAGCCTTAGATCATAATTTTCATCAGTCTCTGGGACTACATGTCCCAGTATGCCTACTGCCTGTGTACCTCGTAATTTATTTTAGAGCTCACTTGAAGAAAGGTTAAAGGTGAGCACACAGGCAGGACTTTTGTTTTTTTTTTTTTTATTTTTTGAGCTGCCTGTGCAAGTTGGTGCAGGCACGCCTCCCTATAGTGTAGTATTGGGAGTGCGCAAAACAGGGTGGCTCCATGGGATCCTGCAAGGGGGAGAAGGTGTCAGTGGGAGGAATAGTGCCCCATCATTGGTGTCAGTGGGAGGAATAGAGCCCTATCATTGTTGTCAGTGGGAGGAATAGTGCCCCATCACTGGTGTCAGTGGGAGGAATACTGCCCCATCACTGGTCAGCGGGAGGAATAGAGCCCCATCATTGTTGTCAGTGGAAATAGTGCCCCATCATTGGTATCAGTGGGAGGAATAGTCAGCGGGTAGGAATAGAGCCCCATCATTGTTGTCAGTGGTAGGAATAGTGCCCCATCATTGTTTTCAGTGGGAGGAATAGTGTCCCATCATTGTTGTGGTAGGAATAGTGCCCCATCATTGTTTTGGGGATAGTGCCCCATCATTGGTGTCAGTGGGAGGAATAGTGCCCCATCATCAGTGGGAGGAATAGTGCCCATCATTGGTGTCAGTGGGAGGCATAGCACCCCATCATTGTTGTCAGTGGGAGGAATAGTGCCCCATCATTGGTGTCAGTGTGGAATAGTGCCCCATCATTGGTGTCAGTGGCAGGAATAGTGCCCCATCAATGATATCAGTGGAAGAATACTGCTCCATAATGGGTGTCAGTGGGAGAATTAGTTCCCCATTGTTGGTGTCAGTGGGAAGACTAGTGCGCCATCTTTGGTGTCACTGAAGGGAATAGTGCCTTGTATCAGTGGAAGAAATAGTGCCCCAAGGGCCGGATAAGGACAAGAAAAGGACCACATTCGGCCCACGGGCTGCAGTTTGGAAAGCCCTGCTGCTGTAGATTAAGTCACTGTTGAGTAAATACATATTACTTAGTATTGTAATTATTTTTTTTTTATTTACTTTTTTTGTCGTCTAAATTGGAAATATTCTATACTTATTCTAATTAATATATTGATTATTCACATAATAATTTTAATGTCATTATACTAAGACGTGAAAATTAATAAAAATTACAAAACGAGAAATTAAAAAGTAAAAGAAAATCCCAAATTTTCGGGTTGCCCCCCCTGAAAAGTAATAGAGGCAAAATCTTCCAATTGACGTCACCGGTTCTGGTAGCACCCCAGGATTTCCTCACTTTTGCAGGAATTTCCTCTCACTTCCTGTTTTGGCTATGGGACAGGAAGTAAAGGGAAAACATAGAAAAGTGATGGAAGAAAAAGACTGAGTGGTCCATCGAGTCTGCCTGTTTTTTTTTGTGTGTGTGTATTTTTTGTTGGAGGGGGTGTTTGTTTTTTTTTTGTTTTTTGTTATCTTTTTTGTCTTGAGTATAGATCTTTGCTTGTCTGAAGCATGTATGAAGCAATTTACTGTTGACTGGCTCACTACCTCTGCTGGAAGTCTATTCCAAGCATCAACTACCCTTTCAGTAAAATAATACTTTCTGAGATTACTTTTGAACTTTCCTCCTGTTAGTTTAACTGCCTCCTGCCTGCCATATCTGGGAGCGTGCAGTCCGCGGCGATCGGCGGTGCGCTGTGTCCCTCGGACACAGCAGATCACTGATCAACGGAAAGAGCCGAAGATGTCGGCTCGGTCATGTGATCAGCTGTGTCCAATCACAGCTGATCACATGTAAACAGGGAAATGACGGATATCGGCATTTCTCTCCTCTCGAGCTGTCACGATGACAGTCGAGAGGAGAGAAGAGCCGGTAATCGGCATTCCTCGGAGGGGACATGTACACTGATCATCAGGGCACTGATGATCAGTGTGCCCTGATTAGTGTGGCCCCAGAAGTGCCACTTGTCAGTGTCCATCAGTGCCAGCTCTTAGTGCTCATCCATGCCACCTGCCAGTGCCCATCAATGCCAACTGTCAGTGCTCATCAATCCACCTGCCAGTGCCCATCAGTGCCACATATCAGTGCCTACCAGTGCACATCAATGCCACATATGTGCCCATCTGAGCTGCCTTTCAGTGTCACCTATCAGTGCCACCTATCAGTGCCAGTCAGTGCCACATATCAATGCCAATCAGTGCCACCTATCAATGCCAGTCAGTGCCACCTATCAGTGCCGCCTATCAGTGCCAGTCAGTGCTGCCTATCAGTGTCCATCAGTCCTGCCTAAGGCAGGCCATAGACAGGCCGTTTATCGGCCAAATTTTCGGCCAATAAACGAAAAATCTGTCGGCCCCGTTGCCGATGCTGACACCAATGTCCACGAAAAATGGTTGGTTTTTGCGGATTTTCCAGCATGACCGATAAAACGAAACGAGAAGATCCGCACAAACCGGCCGATGGGCTGGCCCCACTAACGGGGGGAATATCGGCCGATTTTTCGTGCGGACGAAAATTCGGCTGATAAACGACCTATGGCCTGCATAACAGTGCCAGTCAGTGCCGCCTAACAGTGCCAGTCAGTGCCGCCTATCAGTGCCATATCTGAGTGCTGCCTTTCAACGCCCATCAATGCCATCAGTGCCATCTACTAGTGCCTCCTCATCATTGCCCATCAGTGCCACCTATCAGTGCCCATCAGTGCAGCCTCATTAGCGAACATCACTGAAGGAAAAAAATCACTTATTTACAAAATTTTATAACAAAAACTAAGAAAAAATTTGTTTGTTTTTCAAAATTTTCAGTTGTTTTTGGGTTGTTTAGCAAAGAATAAAAACCCAGAGGTGATTAAATACCACCGAAAGAAAGCTGTCTCAAAAAAATTATAACATTTTCATATGGGTACAGTGTTGCATGACCGCGCAATTGTCATTCAAAGTGCGACAGCGCTGAAAGCTGGCCTGGGCAGGAAGGGGGTGAAAGTGGTTAAGGTCATGTTCCCTAGACCCCAATAGGCCAAAGACCCCAATGGGACAGAAATGGTGAAAAAAAAACCTGTAAGGAGGTATCAGGGGCAGACTGACAACTCATGGGGCCCCCGGGCAATAAGGGATCATGGGGCCCCTGTGTCCTTGCTCAAACTCAAAAAAGCCTATGATAAAGGTACCAGGGGCATCTCATGGGGCCCCCTACTGACCCCGGGCCCTCGGATAGTGCCCGAGTTTCCAAATGGTCAGTCCACCCCTGGGAGGTATAACCCTCCCTGAAATAAAAAAAAAAAAGACGTTTTGCCATCCGCTCTACGTCTGACTTCAATCAGTGTGGAAAGCAATGAAGCTCATCTATTGCCAATACATTCATGAGGGATCGGAGCTGTCTACGGGGAGAAGATCAGCCAGAAGGAATGAGTGGCAGCAGGGGATAAGAGGGAATCATGGTGCGGAGGAGCCATGTGATTGGCAGAGCTCCTAATCCCGGCTCACTCCGACAGCCTGCTGCTTAACTGATCATGTAAACAAGCCGGAGCCTGGAGAGGGCGGAGCCCGAACGGTTCATGTGCCGGCCAGGCCCCTCCCCGGGAGGGCGGGACTCCATCCAGCTAATGGACGGCTTTAATTGTTCGGTGCGCTTCCAGAAAGGAGCAGATGTTCGGGGGGGTGAAGAAAGGAGACGGTGGATGGGATTTGTCCTGTGCCCGGCTTCCCATACTAAACATTGTCTTCCGGCTGCCTGCTCAGAGCTGAGCCTCGCTGTGTGCATATAGGAGCCATCACATCGCCTGCTGTTTACATAACGAGAGACTTTCTGTTGGTGGCAGCCGTGGGGGAGGAAGAGGATCTGCAGCAGCTCGTCACAGGTAGCATGGTCAGCTTGGAGGTGATAGGCATGACTTGGCAGGGCTCTGGATTGAGCAGAAGGGTGCTGACACTGAGCCTAGGCTTCCCATACACTATACAATGTGATTGTACCATCTCCCCTCACATCGGCTATACAGTGCCTGAGTTCAGTCGATGGCTTAGGATGGTCCTCCTATTAGGTTTTCTAGATCTACTTATTTATTTATTACAGGCAGGGGTGGACTGACCATTTGGAAACTCGGGCACTGCCTGGGGTCAGTAGGGGCCCCATGAGATGCCCCTGGTACCTTTTTCATAGGCTTTTTTGAGTTTGGGCAAGGATACAGGGGCCCCATGATCCCCTATTGCCCGGGGGCCCCATGAGTTGTCAGTCCGCCCCTGACTACAGGTACTTGTATAGTGCTGTCAATTTACGCAGCGCTTTCCATATATATTGTACATTCACATCAGTCCCTAACCCTCAAGGGGGCGTACAATCTAAGGTCCCTAACTCACATTCATACATACACATACTGTGGGCCAATTTAGACAGGAGCCAATTAACCTACTAGCAAGTCTATGGAGTGTGGGAGGAAACCGGAGTACCCGGAGGAAACCCACGCAGGCACAGGGAGAACATGCAAACTCCAGGCAGGTGGTGCCGTGGTTGGGATCTAAATGAAGTTGTATAGTATATGGCTACTGCACAGTATACAGATATGGAAGACTCCATAGGACGAAACATCGATGATAGGATTCTATTTCTTATCCCCTTCCTTTCAGACATAAGGAGTCATTCGTTTGCAGAGACGTAGATCAGAGATGGCATCTTTGAAGATATGGGATCATCTGCAGGCTGGCAGCTCCGAGGTGGACTGGTGTGAAGACAACTACAAAATCGTCCCCACCATCGCCGAGTTTTACAATACAGTAAGTGCTCTCTGTGCACTGCATTGTTTCATTTCTTTTACATTTAGGCTCCATGCACACTAGCATTTTTTTTTTTTAAGCTCAAAAACACTGGATAGAAAATGCAGGTAATAGCATTTTTAGTAGCATTCAGAAGTGTTTAGCAGCGTTAGCAATTTATTAGTGTTTTTTTTTTACAGTACATGTAGAGGGGAAAAAAAAAAAAGCTGTTAGGAGTATTTTAGTAGCATCTTTTTATGCTGGAAAAATTTTCTGAAACACTCCAATAAACTCTACAAAAACATTTTTTTTTTTTTCTGCTTCTAGATGCTGAAGCTCAAAAAATACTACTAGCTTTAGCCTGGGTTCACACTGATGCGGTGCGGAATTAGCAGCGTTTTCTGTGCGAATTCCGCACCACATCAGAATCGCACCCCGTTCATGTGAACCGCTGCGGGTGTGTATGTTACGTTAACAACACCCCGAAATTGGTCTGCAAAACGCGGTGCGATGTGCAGAATCGGATCACATGAGTGTGAATACTCAATGCGATCTGATTCTAGTGCGGACCAAAAAAAGGGTCCTGCACCTTTTTAATGCAGATCCGGTGCGTTTGGAGCCATACAAAATGTATGTCTCCAATCGCACCACACACAATTTGCATGTGAGTTGCACAGAAATGCGGTACGATTCCTGTGCGAATCACATGCGATGTACCTCACGGCACAAGTGTGAACCCAGCCTAAAGTAGTGTGCATGGACACATAGGATAACATCATTTAGCTTCTAGGAGCAGAAAAAAATGCTGATAACAGTTTCTAGGAGCTGAGAAAAATGCTAGTGTGCATGGAGCATTACAAAACCCTGAAATGCTGTCAGTTGATCTACAAATCACATGACATCTTCTGGTAGAGGTCTTTCTAAGGCTAGTCTCTGAAAAGTAATCTATGGTTGACGCTAACCTACATCTTACAGGCATTGAGGCAATCTGCTGCCTTCAAAATGCCTTTTTTTTCTATGCCGAGCAGCAATTTTTTTTATGGAACTAAGGCCCGTTTCTTACAAAGGGTCTGATCAGGTCTGCCTGTCAGTTTTTCAGGTGGACCTGATCAGACCTTCCATTTACCCCTATGTACCGGCGAATGTAAACGGACATGTGTCCGTTTACACCCACCTACCTTCGATCCAGATCACTAACAAAAAAAAAAAGCGGAAGGGATCTGTCCCCCTCCGTCTAGTCCAGGGGTAGGCAACCTGCGGCTCTCCAGCTGTTGCAGGACTACAAGTTCCATCATGCCTCTGCAAGTCATAGCTGTAACTGTCAGTTTTGTAATGTTGCAATGCCTCATGGGAAATGTAGTTCCACAACAGCTAGAGAGCCGTAGGTTGCCTACCCCTGGTCTAGGCAGTCGGGTGTAAATGGAGAGAGCGGAGTTCATTTACACCTAGCTGCCCATAGAGTTAAGCAGGCTCTATCTGTATCCCCTCTGCATAAACTGAGCAGACACGGATCTTTCATTCACCCGCTGATCAGCAGGGAATCGGCAGACAGATCTGCTGATCAAAATGGAGTCCACCCCATGTTAAAGGGGCCTAACACATCACAACCACTTGCTGTTGCTGTGTGGTCCTATTCAGGGGCAGACTGACCTTTTGGAAACTCGGGCACTGCCCGAGGGCCCGGGGTCAGTAGGGGGCCCCATGAGATGCCCCTGGTACCTTTTTCATAGGCTTTTTTGAGTTTGGGCAAAGACACAGGGGCCCCATGATCCCCTATTGCCCGGGGACCCCATGAGTTGTCAGTCCGCCCCTGGTCCTATTGACTTGATTGACTGAATTTGACAGGCAGTTCCACCTGTGAACTCAGCAATTCATGTTAAATTTGCAGCAGCATGTGTATTGATCCATCCTATATGCTGTGTTTTAGGTGGGTATTTGGGGGTGTAGTAAAACTTCAGCTCAGCCACCTGTTTTTACCACCACCTGTTTGAAAGAGGCCAAAGAGGGACTTCTCTGTAGTGATTTATCAATGTGGGCAAAGCAACATGAAAACACTGTTTGTTTTTGGGGTATGGAGTATTTGTAGGATTCCATAGACAGCAATAACATTTATTTGCAGGCTTATATTATAACCTGTACACTAGAGGAAATAATACTGAAGCCCCATTTACACCAGAACGCATTCCATGTGTGTTTCCTGCACCGCATTCACAAAGCACTGCAGTTGCAATCTGCATCAGGTGTCAATGTTAAGTTAATGAAACCCCAAATGCAGGTCACAAACACAGTGCGTTTGCCAGCACCCGGATCGCATGATACAGAAGTACCATGCGATCTGGTTGCAGTGAGTTTCCAAAAGTAGTGCATGCACTACCTTTTGGTGCGGTGCAGTGTGATTTGAGTCTATTCAAAATGAATGGGTATAAATTGCACCACAATAAACCGCAAGTGAATCGATTCTTAGTCTGAACCAGCCTTAACCACCTCCCGCCCGCCATATAAGGCAATAACGGACGCAAAGTGGGTTCTCTCGTTCTGGGAGGACATCATATGATGTCCTCCCATTCTAACCGCGCATGCGCGGCTCCCGGAGTGCGCAGCGGATCACCGATCAACGGAAAGAGCCGAAGATGTCGGCTCGGTCATGTGATCAGCTGTGTCCAATCACAGCTGATCACATGTAAACAGGGAAATGCCGGCTATCGGCATTTCTCTCCCCCACGAGCTGTCACGCTGACAGCTCGTGAGTAGAGGAGAGCTGGTAATCGGCATTCCTCAGAGGGAACATGTACAGAGATCATCACAGTTATGTGCAGAAAAAATGCAGCCTGTTCTATTTTTCTTTTCTTGTTTTTGCAACTGGAACGCACTGCAACTGCAAACACTGATGTGAACCAAAATAATTTCAATGCATGAATGCTATATCAAATAATTAACTTTTATAGGGGAGATTTACTAAAACTGGTGCACACAGAAATTGGTGTAGCTGTGCATAGTAACCAATCAGATTCTAACTTCAGCTTGTTCAATTAAACTTTGACAGTAAAACCTGGAAGTAGATTGGTTACCATGCACAGCTCACTAGATTCTGTGTGCACCAGTTTTAGTAAATCCCCCCATAGTGTATTTGATTTAGGAGTTATGCAGGCCATAGATGGTTTGTTTATCGGCCGATTTTTCGTCCGAAAGAATAATCGGCCGATTTTTGCACTGTTAGTGGGGCATTGCCATCGGCCGATTTTTTGCAGTTCCTCATTTCTTTTATCGGTCATGCTGGAAAATGTGCGAAAAATGGCCGATTTTCACAATCATTGCTGGCAACAGAACGACCGATGTTTAGTTTTTGGCCGTCATTAACGAACTGTCTATAGCCTGCATTAGTAGTCTGTCTCACCAGGAAACATATAGTGCCCTTGGTGTGCCAACACAGTGAGAAAGGTACCAGGCATTCACAGGAAATAGACAACATAGCTGTGCGTTTATAGTGCACCACACGATAGGCATTAACAGCAATTATATGAAGTGTACAAAGCAATTCTCTTTTATTTGATAACAGGAAATTATTATGCAAACATAATAGCTACTAAATCATCATCAGAGACTTCAGTGTAATTACAGCTATAGACAATTACAATAAGCAGTCATACATGACATTGTTGTCTGAATGATCAATCTCCTTTGAAGTATTTACAATGTAATTAACATACTATATATTGGAAAGGAATGATGATATGGCCTCTTGCACACTGACGTAATAATTACTAATGTTTGCACATAAGATTTTGCTGGCAGGGTGAAAACCGCACGTTCTATTTCATAAAGACCTCAAGTAGTCAAGTGTGCAGGTGTAAAAACATGCATATGAGCGTTAAATTCTTCGTCTTCCTCTTCTAGCTGCCAGTGTTTTCATTTCCATGTATGTACTTGCATATACAAGTAAATTACTGCACTTAAATTTAAAATTTTATAGGATTTTTTTTTTTCTGGGTTTGAATGCATCACTACATTAAGGCTCATTCACACAAACATATACCGGCTGTCTGTGTAAAGTACTTACCTAAAGTACTCATGTTTAGATATGTACAATGACTTAAGAATGACACTATACCTATATGTATTTACATGCATACAGTCTATGTACAGCCCCAGACACAACTTCAGTGTTCTTTTTTTTTTTTTTGCATGCCACTAAACACGGCACACATTTTCATTTGTAGATACAGCTGTGTGTATAGCCCCACTGATTCCTATAGTGCTTTTTTTTAGATACACACAATAATATTATTATTATTATACAGGATTTATATAGCGCCAACAGTTTGGTCAGCGCTTTACAATATAACGGGAGACAATACAGCAACAGTACAGTTCAATACAAGAGGGATAGGAGGGCCCTGCTCCTCGGAGCTTACAGTCTAGGAGGGAGAGGCTAGTGGTACAAAAGGTAGTAACTCTGGGGGATGGACTGGTAGGAAGAGTAGAAGATTCCATTATTAGCTGAGGGCAGGATAGGCTTCCCTGAATAGATAGGTTTTCAGAGATCACCTAAAAGTCAGCAGAGTAGGCGATAGTCTTATAAATTGGTGTAGAGAGTTCCAGAGGATGGGAGAAGCTCTGAAGAAGTCCTGGAGACAAGCATGGGAGGAGGAGACAAGGGAGCTAGACAGTAGGAGGTCTTGCGAGGAGCGGAGAGTACGGTTTGGGTGATATTTAGAGACAAGATCGGTGATGTAATTTGGGGCAGAGTTATAAATGGCTTTATACGTAATTGTTAATGTTGTTAGATCCATATAGCATATAGTTTCGTGTGTTAAACACTGCGTTGTTAGCCCTTATGAATGCGCCCTTACAGATATTTACACAGCTGTGTGCATTGTCCCATAGGCAATGCACCTGTGTTAAGATTCTTTCAAAAAAATGCTACACAGCTACAAATGCAGCTTTTTTTATTTAGCCTTTGTGCAAGTGGCCCATTAGAAATAGCAGCACGTTTTTAAAATTTTTTTTTTTTATATAGGTAA